GCTTCAAAAAGACTACTTCCGATTATTGCGTATTTGTGCAGAAGTTTTCTGATAATGACTTTATTATATTGTTGCTTTATGTTGATGATATCTTGATTGTTGGTAAGAATATTTGAAGAATTGACACGTTGAAGAAACAGTTGAGCAAATCTTTGCCATGAAGGATTTCGAGCTAGCAAAGAAGATTCTTGGAATTCGTATAGCACGAGACAGAACATCCAATAAACTGTATATGTCTCATGAGCGTTACATAGAGAAACTGCTCGAAAGATTCAACATGAACAAGGCTAAAGTAGTAAGTTCTCCTCTATCCAATCACTTTAAACTGAGTAGCAAGCGAAGTCCTTCTACAGATATAGAGAAGCAAGAGATGAGAAAAGTATATGCTTCAACAGTTGGGAGTTTGATGTATGTCATGGTATGTACTAGACCGGATATTGCCTATGTCGTTGGTGTTGTTAGTCGGTTTATGTCCAATCCGGGAAAACAGAATTGGGAGGCAGTAAAGTGGATCATGAGATATTTACGGGGTACTTCCAATTTGAAGCTCACTTTTGGGAGTGGAAAGCCAGTGCTTGCCAGTTACACCGATTTAGATACCCGAAAGTCTACTTCCGGCTATTTGATGACATTTGCAGGTGGTGCAGTGTCATGGTAATCAAGATTACAGAAGTGTGTTGCACTTTCTACGACTGAGGCAAAATATATTGCAGCAGCAGAGGCGTACAAGGAGATGTTATGGATGAAGCGATTTATACAAGAGCTCGGCTTCAAGCAACAACAGTATGTGATATTCTGCGATAATCAGAGTGCTATAATCTTGGTAAGAATTAAACATTTCATTTGAGAACGAAACATATTGATGTGAGGTATCACTAGATGAATATGCTCTCAATGAGGGACAGTTTGAACTTGAGAAGATACATACTGATCGTAATGGATCTGATATATTGACAAAGAATCTACCAAGAGAAAAGCTTGAGTTTTGTTGTTCTGTTAATGGAATAGCAATTTTCTTCACACAGTGAAAAGGGGGATATTTGTTTGGTATTTTTCATTTATTGTGAAACCCAACTAGAAGAAGGCCCATTTGGCCTTTTAGGATTTTTTTTTATTAATATTTTGTTTCTTTGTTTGTTTCCTATATAAAAATAAATATGTGCAGCCGCCTATGTCATTAGGAGAGAGGGGGAATAAAGCAGAACGCAAATCGAAGAGGAAATCAGAAAAGAAAGGAAAAGAGAAAAGAAACTCATTCCGTACTGTAGCGTTTTCTGCACAATCAGAGGTTGATCTGTGGTTCGATCAAAGTGAAATTTTGATAGCGTGTTCGCAACACAAGGATCTTCAATCTGGACAGTGGAAATTTTTTTTTAAGCTGCCTACAGTCAGATACAGTGGGTAGTTGGTGCCACTTTCTAAGTGAAATCTTTCTAATTTTCTTTTTTGGTTTATTCTCTAGGGAGAACTTGGTGTAGCCCATTATTGATTATAGTGGAGATTTTGATTTCGATCCGTGGTTTTTTATTCCTCGCATTGAGGGAGTTTTTCCACGTTAAAATTGCTTGTGTCCCGTGCTTGTTTGAATTATTATTTTTACGTGCTATTTCCTATTAGATTCATACAAGAGGGGATAATTGGTCTATAAAATTAAGTGGTTATCCCAACAGCTTCGTCATAGACATTCCATGCATCGAGCCATGGCCTTAGGGTGGTCCCTAAGGGGCTCTGTGCCTAAGGCGGTTTTCTTCTGCCGAGGGCACATCCCTCTGGCCGTAGACAGACTAGGTTGGGGTAGGCTTCATCGTAGAGGATCCATCCATTGAGCCATGACCCCAAGGTGGTTTATGGGACTTTGTGGCTGACGCGGTCTCTATCTGCGGAGGGCACATTCCTCAGCTGTGGATCCGTTTTGTTGGTCCTCTCAGGGGGAGTCTCGTTTTTCGACCTTTGGTCACAGGCTTCCCCGAGACTTCTGAGTCGTGGTGGATTTTTTTTGCTGAAGGTGCCCAAGTTTTAAGGTCTATTCCTATCTCTCTTATGTCTTTGATCGTTGCCCTTTTTTTTGCAATTTTGTTTCTCTTGTGCTAAACGGTCTCATTCGAGGACGACGTTTGGACACTTGTTGCTTGGATGTTTACACATTGTAGAAGGGCGGGCTTACACGTTCTCAAGACATAAAAAGCAGAGAGACATAAAAAACAAAGAAACGTAAATAAGATTAGCCTAAAAGTGAAAGAGATAGAATTGAGTAGGAGTCGAACTTTGGGTGATAAATACTGACAGAGGAAACGGGTGGACCGTGCAAGCAACGTTGTGTTCTTGCATGCTACCTCATGGCTAAGGCATAGCATTCTCGAGAGGCCCTGATAAGAATCATGGTGTTTCGCACGTCTCCACTGGACCTATTACACGAGCCAAGGCTAAGAAGCTTCAACAAGCATTCCTTATTCACGTACAAAATTGGATAGGCTCAGTTCAA